GTCATGTTTCGCTGTGAAATACCATCACTGCGCAATGCAGTGCTTCAAAATGCAGAAGTTGTTCTTCAATTTGACCCCGAAGTTCCATTACATGCTGCACGTGAGGGACTCTCTGTTGTTGCAGCAGGGTCGGCACATATACTTGAACCCGGCCGTATTCTCCACCCAAATGTGTGAGGACTATGTTGGCCAGGTTTCACAGAGCTCGCGAACTGTACATCCATTAGGAGTGCCCCTCAGGGTTGGGCAAAAGTGGAGGTTGTACACCAAACTTAAATGGACAGAGCGCATGGAATGAGCTATGTTGAAGCCCATGTATGTAGCCTTGTGGCTGTGTTTGGTATGGGCTCCGTCCATGAAACGAAGTTGGCTTGCTTTGCTGGCAAGAAAGGATTGCTGACCAGTGGACATCACAAAGCTGAATTTTCTTGGTGTGTTGTTTCTCTATATACATCATATGTATATGTTAGGCCAACAACTCACCAACAAAATTCAGCCAGAGTAGAGCGACTGCAAACTTGGACCCCCATGGGAAACCAACTTTTTCCTGGAAACTTGATTAACTTGGGATCTGCTTCGAAACCAGAAAAAGGTACTACAGACCCATGTACAGGTATGTACCATAAATCAAGAATCGGATCAGGGTGTTGGGGATCAGACGTTCTAAAACAACGTGGAGCTGCTGAGTAACGCTACACCCACAAGCACGCCCCCTCCTCTAGACCCAAATAGATCTGGAGCAGGGTACTGTGGAGGTCGGATTACGAATGGGGGAGTATTAGAGCTAAATCAGGCCCAAACGGAATAATACAAAGGGGGTCGTATTAGAGCTAAATCCGGACTGAAAGGATTAATAGCAACATAGGGTTTAGGGTTTGAGGTTTAAGGGTTAATTAAAGTTGATTAGTTAATTCTCGGGGTTCGAAGAGTCTAGTTACGTTCACGGTTCAAGGTTTCATTCACGGTTTAAGGAAAAATCAGGGTTACAAGTTCAGGGCGTTAGGTTCGGGCTTTTAGATTTATTTACAGGCTCAAGGTTCGGGATTGGCCCGGGCCCCCCAAACAACTTTTCCCGAACTTGGTTGCGACCCTTCGATTATTCTGACCCCTCTACTTGTTGGGGGGGGTTTATAATCCAACCCCCCCATTAGGTTTTTTTCGGTCACGCTCCCAGGATTAATCCTTCATGGAGGCACGATTTCTAGAAATTTAGCAGCCGGACAGATGCATGTGGCTATGTGCCAAACCTGCCTTGTGCCCATAAGCCATCAGGTAAAGCCGAAGACTGCGAGGGCGTTTCAACAACAGAGGCAAGTGAAGGGTGTGTGACAAATGGTCATTCTACTCAGTGGTGATAGTTGCCGTGACTTGAAGAAAGATTCCTAGCTTCGACGCTCCCTTTAGTAACTTGAATGTGACCTTACTGTACATGCTTATGTTCAGTACTAGGGGAAACCATAGAGGCAGTTGCTGCACCGGTGGTGTAAGAGTGAGGTCTCCAAGGTAGCGAAGTTTTGGTACTGAGGACTTCGCCTAGCTAGCCCTCCAAAACCGCTTGTTGGTTCTGATATGTTCTGATGCCTAATGTAGCAGTTTTTAAACTCAGCTGTCAGCAGTCGCAGAAAGCCCGCAACAGATCGTGTCGCCCAGTCGGGAGAAGTTCCCTTGTCAGGTTGCCTTTGCTGCAGTTGTCCCTGAGAAGCCGCACGAGCAGTCACTTGATGGCCCTGCCGCAGCACCTCAGAATGCGAGCGCTTGACGCTGCCAGCGTGCCAGAAGTTAGGTACCAAACCCCAAAAAGCCCAACTTACCCCAGAGGGATCACCTCCTACATCAAAGCACCCGCAAGCTGTCAATGCTCGGCCGGTTTCACCCCGCTCGTCCCACTTCTGTGGGGTGCAGAGGTTGCGAAGAAACAGATTGCATCACGCATGCTAACATTCCTTGACAAGTGCATGGCGCTTCAACTGCCAAAGATAGTTTGGGGCTGGCAGATCTTCAGACCCCGCTGAAGGAATGGGTTCTCATGGAAGCCAGGACACTTCGTAATTGAAAGCGGGATTTGTTGAAGGTATCGAATTACAGAAGCTGCCAGAGACTACCCCCCGAAGAAAATCTCCCCAAATAACAACATGCATCCGACTTTTCTTGCTCGGGGGCAATATGCAGTGAAAGACTGAATAGGGCGGTACGTTTGCTGTTAAAGAAGGAAGCCGTTTTCTGATCAACAAAACTCTTTCACCTCTTCAGTATATCGTGAAATTGCTTGATGTAAAGCCCTGCACGAACTGCATAAATATATATATATATGCATATTGATATACATATGTGTACAGATATCTGCAAACACCATACATCTGGGACATCAAGGAGGTCCCCGATCCTCTTTGATTAGGAAAAACTTCTGATTCTAATAAGATTGAATGATTCTCAGATTTCAGAAAGTGTTAACCCTCCTTGTAAGAGTCAGGATCCACCCCCTCCCAATGACTTATACGTTCCGTCCCATCTAGCATGGGTACCGGAACCAGCCAAGGAAATGTCCACATCTCCACTTTATAAGTACCCTCCTTCCCTTTGCGTGGTCGCCATGGTCAGGATCATCATATATTGGAGTCTACCCCTATTTACAGAAACTGCCATAATGACAGGTGGAGGCTTTCGTCCGCGTTGCACGCCGCTCGTTTGGCCTTCATGGAAGACCTACGGACCCAAAGTGCTGCTTTTGGTTGGTAGGTAATAATGGAACATATTGTATAGGGTTGTGTATTAAACTACTGCACTATAATGGAGTATATTCCCTGTTCCCCACTAAGCACCAGTAAGAAATTGTATGGATCATGGCCCTTGAGGATGTCCCAACTCACAGTAGAGTTTATGTTTTGTTTGATTTGCACCACAACCTTCCCCATTTTCTGGCATTTTCAGCCAGAATCGTGGAAGAAATCCTTGTTCATTCCATGCCCGTTCCGTCATGTGCATGCGAACAGGGATTGCCGCCCGCAGGCTGGCGTTTTTGACGTGCATTGGACTGGCAGACGTAATGAAGGGGACCATACGTACATCAAAAAAACGGTTTCCTTCGGCCACGAAACTGAGGCGATGCTGCGAGGCGACGCGGGTGTCACCGCGTCGTAGACGTCGGCGCTGGACTTGGGGCTTTGTGCCTTTGATGGAGTTGACTTTAGGCGTGCAAACGTCATGCACATGATATCCGTGCAGGAGACATGGTATGGACATTGCACGAGACTGCAATGCTAAGGACACGGCACCTGCAACAAAGCTTGGGGCTGCCTTGTTTGGGTGCCTTGCGCAGCAAGCCAGCATGTTTGGCAGATAAACCGGCAGAAGGGTGGAGTCTTAGCTGTGTCACGTGTTCGTATACATCATGTGTGCCAGAGCCATTTGACACCTGAACCAATTTGAATTGCATAGCCTTCAGCTTCTGCCTGAGGCCTCGACCGTGACCCCGAGAAAGTTGAAACTGCGTCGCGACTTGCTCTTTCTGTTGGGCACGGCGATGAGGCAGCGGCATGCAATTCATCGTGTGCCCGTCGCTTTCCAGCTTTTTAATAAGCATAATTCTGTGGTCCTTTCCTCCAATACTGAACGTCCCACAACTGCAAACAAGCCCCAAGAGTCTTATTAAGGACGCTGTAGCCTCAGAATCCATTAGCTCAGACCCCTTGTCAACCTAATTAGATATTGCTGGACTTCGGCCCCCCTCATTGCTTGTCATCTTTCACCACTTTTGCAGTGGTCTTGCCCTTCAAACAAGTGCGGGAAGGGATTAGTTTGAGAAGGTTCGGGGCACGGAAGGGTTTGGCCAGGTGCAATTTAGCACCAGCTTGCTGGCCCAAATCGAATGGCGGACTCGTAGTGCATGTGGTGCAATGAAAAATCCCCCTGTGGCTGCGGGCATCTTTGTGGCCAAGTTTGCGCTCAGAATTTCGGGTGTCGCACCTCTGTCTGAAAATCAAGGTGCAGTAGTCATGCCTGGCATGTAGCTGAGAGGTGTCCTTTGCCGTTTGCGACATCCAAACTGCTGGCAGCTCGGCATGAGAAAGTGTGCATTGGTGTACAGGGAGAGGGAGGGCCAATTTGGTTAGGCTCTCCATGTCGGCGCACGCAGATGTCTAGTCATTAGCGTGCAACTTGGTTACTCTGCAACCGGCCAAAGGTGCTCTTCAAGATCTGCTGCAACCGGGCGACCTGGTTGTCGGGCTACATCCTTGTGGAAGCCTCGGGGAGGAGCCTCTGGTTAGCTCGACGGTTGAGAGTGCACAGAACAGCTCAAGTTGCAGGCACGCACTGCTTGATCCCAACCATTTGGCCTGGCTTCTGATGGTACAGGACCTCATCGCTGCTGTTGGGTCGGGCACGGGCAAGGCGGCACCTGCTTTGCTGATGGTTTCCTGCTGCGCCTGGGCTTCGCATTTGCTGATCATGATAGGCCAGGTGATGCCAGGTGCCTGAACCCAGTCGCCTCTCCAACAAAACCTAGACCTCAAGCCCCTTAAGCCCCTTGAGGCATAATGGGCCGGCCCTGGGCTCCTGTGGCCTTTCCACGGCCGCCAGCCTCGACACTAGGTTTGGCGCCTAGACGACTGCACAGGAGTGTCCTATCTTTGAAGCCTGCTTCTGATGTCGTGCAGTGCTTCTGCAAACTAACCCGTTTGCCCAAACGCCTCACTGAGGTCAGCGTCTTAATCTGTCATTGCCTCGCACAGCACTCAAGAGACCGGGCTCATCATACCGTGTCGTCTAGGCCATTACGCTGACAGATGTTGAAGCCATGTTTTCGGAGAAGATGTGGCCCTGAACTACAAGTTGTCTCGGCGCATTCCCAGCTGGCACTTCCATTGCCAAGTCTGCACTTGGAGCTTAGCGTTGCTTGTCCAGTTACCATTGGGTAGCAGGAAATTTGGAAATTTGCACGAGGCCAAGGGTCTTTGATGGTCTTTGCATCGCGACCACCAAAGCCATCCCTGTATCTCAGGATGTCAAACCTGTGGGCTCCTGGACGCGTGCCTGTGGAGGCGATCTCCACGCGTATGGCCCTTCGGCAGCTCCTGCTAGGCCGCTTGGGCATGTTTGTGCAACTTGACCCTTGCAAAAGGAGTTCCGTTTTTTGAGTCTGAAGTAATGCAGCGCTGGCACTGAATTAGCTACCAGAAAATGTGATCGGATCATGCACGAAATGCTTTTGCATGGAGGCCGTGGCTGGTTCAACGAGACGCGCCCACCAACCTGTGCCTCACGCATGCACAGCAGACATCACCCGTACCACAATGGGCTAGGAGCCTCGGGGAAAGAAGTTGAAGCAGTTGGAAGTGTTTCAGCAGCACAGATTTGAAGGTACATCCTTGACTCCAAGCATGCGTGGTGTCACCAAGAAGCATCACAAAGCAGGCTGGGAGTGGTGAGCTGTGTCATGAAATAAGAGCATCTGAAAGTTGAAGCATGCAGGGAACTTGGGAATTTGAAATATGCTATGGATAAAGCTACCCCCTAAGCCTGGATGTGTGCACTTTCCACGTCTGAAGCGCTCAGAAGCCAAAGCTGCACATAGCACCGTTAGCCTCGAAGGTTTCCTCGCTGTGGCGCGCCGCGTGTCCCGGACTGTTAAAGTTCAAGTCAAAGTCTGGAGGTCCATGTCCGAGACCCAAATTCATGTCTTACACAAGGTTTTGGAGCTACGGGGCCTCCCTCCTGCTGGAGAAGCGGAGGCTCTGATCCTGATTTGCTCAGCTGAGATAAAGAGCGGCTAACATCATGGAGCCATTTGTTGTGCTGACCCGGGGAGGCAGAGGAAGCTTGGCGGATTGGCCAAGCCTGGGTGCCGGTATACCGAAGGCTTTGGGGGTTCGACTGTAGGCTGCTAGACACAGATCAGCCATCTGAAAGCTGCAGGCACTGCAGGCAAAAGCTTTGCTGAAAGCAATGCATTTGAGCTATCAAGGGCGCGGCGACCTTGCAAGACACAGGCATCATGCAGGTGCATGGTAGGATTAGAAGGGGCAGTGCAGAGGCGCAGGTTCCAAGTCTGGTGGTGGATGAGGCATGAAGCTTGAGCTTTACAGGACTAGGAGGCATCGGGATGCAAGACTATGGAAGACTGTTTGAATGTAATTCCGTCTTTGTACCTGAGAGCCTAGGGCTCAGGCATTTCTCAAAGATGTTCAGCGATGAAGCTGACAACAGCTGAGCTTAACCTACTCGTATCATCCAGGACTAGAACAGTCGCAAGACAGGAGCCTTTATACCCGGCCACCACCAGCCAGGTTGGAGCTGCTTACGCCTTTGGTGGGCGACGCGGCAGAACTGGCGGTGAATGCAGACCGGGCAACGGCGCTAGAGGACCGTCATGCCCAGCACTACAGAGCGCATAGCTTTGTGGCCGTGGAGCCAATGCCACCCGCGTTCCTTTTTCCTGTCCTAAGCAAGCGGTGCTTGCACATGCTGTTGGAGGCTTGTCCCGAGCAAAAACCGCGAGAGCACAGACTTCTTTGCATTCTATGGCTCCCAAACTGAACTGTTTCATTTCTTACTCTGGCAGTCTTTTACGCGTGGGCTGAGCCTAAAACATGGCCAGGGTGGGTGCCAGGCAAGTCTTGCAGGCCGTGTAGCGTGGTTCCTCGCAGACTCTTCTCGTCGTGTCTTGCGTTCCTGTTTCAGCATCTGCACACCCAACGTTGACTGAAGTTTGGGTAAGCGATGCTTTGTGTCTTGCTGTTAGTGCCGCTTTTCTTACAGCTACGGACGCTGTGGCTGACGCAAGAAAGCCCTAGCCAGCGCAGCGACAGCAACATGTTTTCATCGAGTTGGCCCCTAGACTTCACCCCCTCAGCGCGCAACAGCTCGTTGGGCTTCTTGCTCATGCACACACAACTTCATAAAGGCACAAGGGGTAGATGGGGGGCCTGATGCAGCCATTCTTCGGGCTTTTGGTGCCAGGAAGCTGGAATGCAGTCAGAGCTCGGCCTCATGTTCTCTCAGGCAGGTTCCCTGGAGCATACTTACATGGGACACGGGTCTCAAACGAGGGAGTCTTGACCCTTTTTTCAACATTAATTATGCGGAAGAGGGTCCCGCATTTTGGAAGCAAAAACTTAAAGTATGTCCGTACTGGGTTCCTCATTGTATTGAGTTTGCATGGCCCGTTGGTACAGAATTACTGCATTGATCTGCCCCTCAGGAATATCTTCAAGGTTGTATCTTGATAGCATGATTTGTCGCACCCTCAGGGATGTCGCGGGGATGCTTCGTATGTCTCTGTTTACACCTGTTCCAACCCGGCAATCACTGAAGCTTGGACGAGCTGACTGCTGCTCCAATGCTGGAATTCCAATTGTATGGGGTTTTCCACAGACCTGTATGCAGAAAAGAGTTAGAATGAGATCAGCTCTATTTTCTCCTGAGGCACAGCCAAACCCAGAAGGCTTTAAGGTGAGGGATGCATGCATTGACTGAATAGGTTTGCCAAAGCAGCCCACTGAGTAATGCTTTGGAATTAGTGTTTTACATTATAATAAGACAATACAGGCGCCAGCAACAACAGTAATTTTACTCATTATCATTGATGGCCCTTTTTCTGCCCAGATGAAACTCCTGCGGTCTAGCCGCAGACTTTACTTTTCTACTTGGAAGTTGCCGCGGCAACTGTTCTGGTTGTTGTGCCACTATTGTGTGCAAGACGCCACAATTTCTCGTAACATTCCAGGCAAAGCAAACTGCCCGCACAAACTGCGACCAGAAGAGCCACGGACAAGAAAGGAACTTGCAGACAGTGCTCTTCTCTTAGCAGGAAGGGTTGGGTCCCAGGATTTTATCGGACGACCGTCAGGTCACAACAGAGACGACCCTCAGGTCGCAAGAAGAACCACCGGCAGGAAAAAGCGAGGTTTCGTGGGGTGGGTTGTGTTTCATGGCCTGGAGCCACCATTCTCAGCAAGCTGGCAATTTGTCTCAGCTGCAGCCGTGTGGGTGTATGGTCAGGGCGGCCCTAGGCCCTAGACTCTATCCTCAAGCCTCCATAGATCATTTGGATAAATGCGTGCCAGACCCATCCAGTAACAGACCTATGTTTTCATGTTTCCTCCTATTGCTACTATTTACTACTATTGCTACTACCATTCTATAAAGAGTGAGGGCCGACACTAATTCATTATTACCACACTGCATACTTTGCACGCTTGAAGTCCTCCTGAAAGTCAGGAGTGCAGCCCACGAAATTTGGCCATCCAAGCTGGCGCGCTTGTGGGTGCAAAAAAGCGCGAAGGCGTACTGCTGCTTAGCTGTCCCTCTTGCAAAACATCAAGCAAGTCGTCAACCAAACCCACCGGGTGCAGATCCCTGAAATTCTTTGCAGGACTTGCGTTTAATTTTATCCCACGCTCGCCCTACACTGCTGCTTTCCATGAAGATTCACGGCATGTTGTCGATGATCAACTAGGCGGGAAGTGAGGACAGATTTCATTTGAAGAGGTATGGCGAGATCATTTGCCTAACAGGCCTTTGCAAGTTGTTTTTCTCAAAGTTGCCCAGGGCTCTGTAGTTGCTGAGGGATTTGAGCGACGAATTCAAACTGACATTTCAGCTGTTGATTTGTCAAAGCTTTTTGGGATTTCTTTCGGAAGAAAAGTCCTGGAACTACAGGCAGGGGACGTCAAACTTGTGCATAACGTGAGGGCTGTACGATGTAGCAAAGGTCATGAACCAACGAATCGGGTCCAATCTAGATGACATGTTCCCGCAGAATTTACATGTTCATGACCAGGAGTTGTATCACTCTTGCAAATTGAGATTTTGCCATAGCCTAATAGCGCGGGAAATTCGCAGGGAGTTGTGCTGCCAGAACCACTGAGATGATGAAAGTTCGCTGGCGCAATTGCCGAGGTCCAGCATCAACAACAAGAGATGCAGCAGCTTCAGTCGAATCTCAGGCCCTCCTGGTCTTTGAAGAAGACGAACGGCTGCTTCTGCCCTAAGTTTCATTGTTGATATTTTTCTTATCTCTTCCATGTCTGCCAGGCAAGAAAACCCAAAACCATTGATTAACAAGTTACCAAACGAGGCACTTCATGCGCCAGCGCCCTTGGTTTAACGTGAGCCCACGACGTCCAAGCCGCAGAACATTAAGTGCGGAACAAGCAAGTACGACCAGGCGCCCGAATTTCGACAGACCGCCTGTGCACGCGGGCAGTGATCCCAGAATATCCTGTAAATTCTGGAACGGGCTCGAGGAAGATGACGTTTGAGGCTTCGGCTTGCAGAGTGTCACGCCACGTGCAGCGTTTCCCTAACAGATGCCACCTTGGTCAAGAGTTCAAGATTGCCTCGCATTGCATGTTGCTCGAAGCGGATGATGGCCTTGCAGTTTAATTAAAGCAGAGCCTGGCCTGCAAATCCGCGCAGTTGTGCTTCCTTTTTCTTTGCTGTTCCTCTGTTGCCTTCTTGCCCGACTGCTTTGCTCTGAACGATTTGCATGCCTCGTCTTGTTCTTTCCATGCTGTTGTTTGTACCACTGTGGCAGACTGTTTTTTGATCGCTGCTTGCTGGGTTTGTGTTGTGCTCGTGCTTTTTGCCCAGCTTTGTCGTGCAAATGGTTGCATTTGTTTGTACAAGTTCTTCCTTTGTCGATGCTTCATTTAGGGGTTCCATTCTTGTACTCATATTGTATCCTCTTGCAGGTGAAGTTGCGCATTGCTTTGTGTTTCAGTTCCGCTCGTTCCCTTCATCTAGCCAACTGCATGAACCCGGTAATGTATTTGCCAGCGCTGTCGCAAAGGCGCTCGTGCGGTTGTGTCTCGGTCGCAGTCTCCGCAAGGCCAGATCTTCCGAAGCAGGGGCAGGAATCGCTTCCCTGTTCGAGACCTAGCTGGCGACCATGGCAGTAAGCTTTCAAGCTGCGCGTTTGAAAGCAGTTCAATCTCACAGCAAAATTTGTAGCCTGGTCCTACTCGGAATTTTGCTTCAAATGCCAAAGCTATCCAGAGGGCGCCCTGCCTGCTGAAGTGGACTCATATGTAGGCTTGCAGCATTGACACTGACATTAAGCGATTCTGATTGATCTTACTGGAAGAGCTGGGCCAGGAGTTGCGCACGAGATCAGAACAGCTTCGCCCATGGCAGTTCGAGTTCTAGGCCAGGAAGCCTGAAGTTCTTATTTCCCGTCTTATTGCTAGACTCAAGCGAACGGAAGTACAAGCCCATTCTAGAGCGCGGATGAGAGTAATTGTCCTGACTTGACATGCCTGGACCTGAGGCAAAACTTGCATTTGTGCAAGTACATGTCTCAATGTAGGGTCGGGAAGCAAATTTGAAGTGTGTCAGAGGAAAGCCCCTAGCCGGACACAAGCATGAGACAAATGTGGCCAGCACAAGGATGATGTACCCTTCAGAGTTTGTAGCAGGATGGCAGAAACTTTCATTGGCTGCTTCAGGTGGAGTCGCCTGGCCCAAGGCTCGTGCAATGTAAGGATTCTTGCAGCCAGGCATTGCCTTTTGACATTTTTTGACATCTTTTTAAGATCAGGCTATTGCACTGGCTAGACTTAGCCAATTTCGTATTCATTTCGAATCTAGCTGAAGCTTGTCTCTTCCTTGAAGAGCCTCGCCCTGACTTAGCCATCGTCGCACTTGGGCAAAGTCATGCGCTGCCGGCGGCAGTAAGTGATGTAGGGAATGGAGCCCGACCAAGGGAAGTCCACTTCCTGTGAGCACCAGCTACAACCACTGGAAGATCCGCAGAGTCCACAGCCCCCGATGTTACTTCAATCCTTGCTCGGAAAGAGGCAGCTCCTGGAACCCCTGTGGCTTGGCCCTTAGCATTTCAGACCTTCTACGTCTCATGCACGTATATGGCCGTTGTGTAATTGCAGTGCAATATACCCCAAGCTGTAATTGAATCATGTAGTTGCCACAGGGCCCCATTCACGTGAGATGCCCACCTACTCCCACGCAAGCCTTGATAGCACAGTCCGCAGGTTCCATGAAGGTTCCGCTTGCACTGCCTTGCAGCGCAGTCTTCTGCATACGCGAGCCAGCTCAACGCAGCCTTGACGGGTGACGGCATCAGCTAGCCTCCACATGAGATGGAAGCAGTTCTAAATCGTCTAATCTGCTGCCGCACAGGCTTATGTGCCCAGGGCTATGTCTCCAGCACCCGCTCAGGCTTGGGGCATTTCATGGACAGGGACGGGATACTGCGTGCACCCGCATACAGCTGACAATCAGAACTGCCGCTGTCTCTCATGCAAGCCATAAGCTTCGTGCTTCAGCTAGAGCATGCTAAGAATCAAATATGTAGATCTGCCCTGACCGAAAAAAGCTAGTGGAAAGCGCAGAGGCTCCTGCAGGTCAGCGGGCAGAGTCCCCGCTTCCGCAGCGTGTGGGGAGCCTGGAAAGATCATGGCTGGGGCGGGAAGGGGCAGCGCGCAGTCTCAGGCGAAAGGGCCTCGATCCCTCATACAAGCATTGTCATGCAGTGCATCGAGAGCTGCGGTAACTATCAGGGTTTCAGATTGACAGATGTGCCCCAGAAGTTGAGGCTAAGACTCTCAATAGCTCTGCACGCTGCCCACGCAAGAGCAGACAGGCTGCTTATCCAGTCATGGCATCGCCTGCGGCACCCCCTCCAGCCCGCTGTGCTGCGCAGGCCTTTCTTTCAAGTAGCCTTTCATGACAAGCAGCTGATTCACTTCCTATTTTCAAACTTGAAGATGCTATAGCACGCCCTAATCGAAACATTCGGAAATACGCTGAAGACTCAACAGTTCGTATTCTCCCGTTTGGCTCCTGTGGGGCGTGTCCAGAATCCCGTGTCGCGTCGCATCCCGCTATATGAGTAACAATATGTATAGGAAAAGGCGGGCAAGTTCTGCACAGGAGCAAGACTTACAGCGGCTTGAGCTACCCTGGGTACTTTAGGTGCTTTCCTTTCGCAGGTCCCTGCCGCGCAGATGCGTCCAGCGATGTCCGCAGGCGGAATGAGCTCTGTCATGGCTGTCAGGGAAGATGGGGGTTTGCCAAAATTAGGGGTACCTTTTTGGGGGCCCCTATAATAAGGATTATGGCACATTTGGGTCTATATTGGGGTCCCGCTATTTAAGGAAACTAGCAGATGGTCAAGTGCTGCACTGTGTCTCAGCACCTGTAAATGACGCTGCGCACGTCAGATGCGGACGGTATATTCTTGCATGCTAATGGTGATGGAACAGGATTCAACTGCTGCAGCGCTGCCTCAGGTGATTAGAGTGGATTGGGCTTTACGGGCATCAATCAATCAATTACCGCTCGGGTCCTGCCTGAAAAAAGTTCAGATTGCAAGAACAGGGTTGGGGGGAGGAGAATTTCAATCCCTTTCAATTCGAGGTGTCCATGAATGGGCATGGAAAGGCACATGCCAGGGCTGCTTTTGTTCCTATCTTCCCCTTTCTAAAGCTGGAGAGGGTCTAGACCTTATCATGAAGTCAGACAGGCGCTCCTGGGACTCCCACACTTCTGACCCGGGTGCATGGAGCTGAGTCAGGGACACGTTGATTTTTGCAGTGAAGGGAACCACCAAACCAGGGGCTGCGTAATTGAGTAACTGTCGAGAAGTAGCAGGGCTCCCATGCTAATGGAGCCCTCCCCACAAGACACAACACTGCTTGAGACCTGCTCTCGTTCGCAAACATGAGTACAAGAGGACCTGCAGGGATTTCAAGAAGTTATGACCAACTATCCGATGCGTTTCCGATCTCGCTTTGCCGCAGAATCCTGTTTTTGACTTGCGGTTCGCGCTGAGCTGTCTGGATTGGATTCGATTTCCGGTGCGACCTGGACTTCTGAGGTTGACGCCCAGGCAGCATGAGCTGCGCCAGGCAAAGCCCATGCGTGGGAATCAATGTTGACATCAGTTCTTGTCCCAAGGATTTGTTGTTTCGTAGCCTTTGACTATGGTATCTCAGCGCAGGTTCCAATGGCCATTCGCATTGCAGCGCCCATCTTCGGAGTGAAGGCGCCGCCTTGAAAACAGCTTGTTCGAAGCATTGGGAGCAAAGCAAACTCACCAGCCGAACAGCCCAGTTTGCCATGCCAGGCACTGTACCGTCCTAGCAAGACTACAGCGGCACACATGGGTAGCAGCAAGTTCAGGAGAGCAGGGACAGTTTTTTTTCTCTTGAAAAAAAACTGGTGCCTCTCGCCGGTTTTTTGCATGATCCTGCCAGAGCCTGGTACAGTCCTAAGAAGTTTGGTCCTTCTTTCGTTCAACACAAGCTGTCACCACACCCCTTCAGACCACTTCTGATCAACTCTTCAATCCAATGATTTTCCATTATTCTGCATCCCAGGAGGCCGCGCCAGCGCCCGGAAGGTCGGTGACGCCGCCACGGAAGCCGCCAGTTGGTGGCCCCAGCGCTCTCAAACGTTTCCCGAGTTATTTATCCCAAGTTGTTTGAAGTAGATAGCTTCATTACATGGTCATACTGAAAAAGCACAGATATGAGCATGCACAAGAAGACTGAGATCATGGCATTGGACCTAGCGATTTCTGCTTCTAGCTGGGATTCTGCAATCCTTCGTTGGGATTGCTAGACTCGCTGCAGAACAGCCGCAACCACAACAAGCAATGTGAAGGCTGCAGCGAACAACGCTGAGCCGCCGCTTGCAACCCAGAAAGGGCATCTTTTTCTTGGGCTTACTGTTACTTGGGTCACGCAGCTAGGGAGTGGGAACTCATTCTCGTAGTTGACTTGGTCTTGCGTGGTAGTACATGTGTCACTATGCTGAAATGCAGGGCGACCCGACAGTTTACGCCTGCTCCAGCTGGAACCATGGACTCTCAGATGCAAGATGGTGCCAGTGGCATGTACGGTGCAGTGTCCTGAAATGGTCGACATTTGAGTAGCGTATGCCTCAAGCTCCGGTTGCACACTGTGCTACCGCTTGGGAGACGGCGGCTAGTTTCACCGTTTGGGAAGGCCTTGCTCAGGCACCCTGCAGTTGCCACAGATGTTTGCCCTTTCGATGCTGAAAACTATCGCAAGTATACGTGGGCAGTCGGAATGGCAGGCGTCAGTTCTTAGCCGTTGGCTTCAAGTCGGCTGAGAGCTGCGTTATAGGTTACTAGCATGGCACAGTAGTGAAAAAAACGGATTTCGGGCGCTTCTTCTGGGACCAGCCAGCTTTAACAGAAAAGGCTATAAAGCAGCTACGGATCTCGAAGCATGCAGGATTTCATGTGCGGAAGTAAGGCGTCTAGGGGCAGTGTAGGCACCAGAGCGAACACTGAAGGTCGTTGCTGCGAATGACTAGAAAATCAGATTTGAACAGTGTTTTTGGAGCGTCTCTCTGAGGAGCGAGTAATTGTTCGATCTGGCACACGTGGCAGCCCCAGTCATGAAAGACCATCTGACCGAAAGCAGATTCATTGCAAAGTTTGAGTGGCACAGCCATCTCGCGTGTGAACCAGATTTTTGCACTCGATTGATGGTTTAACAGTATATGAACGCTTGCGTGAACATTACCCCTCCAACACATATTGCTGAGGGCTTGCTGGACAACAGCGCGGGTGTGTGTAGTGCAAAAACTAAAAGCATTGCATGCGACATTGCCGTGACATTGCCTTCATGCGATCAAAGAAGACAGAAATGGTTTCTGAACTAAGTCGATGTCTTTCGTTGAAACGACGCTTTTTGTCCTGACCAGTCCTGCGGATCCAAGGTAGCTGACAATGGATTCTGACGTGGAGATCTCCATTTGCCAGATTTGATTCTGCAGCGAAATCAACAACACCTGGGAACATTCAAGCTGACAGGAAGAAGTCACTTGGCACGACTTCAATTCTTCAAAGCGCAGTATGAATGAAGCTTAAGATTATTAGTCTACCTTCCAAAAGTGGAGGCTTTGATGGCTCAGCATTTTGTAAGAAACAAATCTGGCAGCTCAGCTTGCGCATGCAGGTGGACAAACAGGCTGTCTGGCAGGTAGCAGAGGGCTGGATTGACCCTGCTCTTGTACCATAGCCGAAATGGCAGGTCACGTGTCTTTAAAATGCTTGGCATGTATTTGCGGCATAGTTTTCAAAGACTTCACAACAGAGATAGGTCCAGTGCTGGGCTAAATTGTTAAATTTCATTAAGCTGGGAATAAGATACTGTGCGGAGCCTTTGTTCTACCCACAGAATTATGGTGTTCTCTAGTCCTGAGGAAAAGTGTCATAGACCTTCGGTCCCGACATCCCGCACTTAGAAAAACGCGACCATAACAGTTGTGCATACTGACAGTCACTTGCCAAATAGCATAAGCTCCTCAGCCATTGGACAACGAGGTTCCAGCACAGAATCAAAAAACTTATGGCTTCTTTGAGGCACATATGACCACTGACCAGTCATTGATCCGCTTATGCTCCTCAGCCCTACCCGCTTGAGGCCGAAAGGCATCCAAAAGGCGTTGCTGCTTGGTGCACGAATATAGGCCGCTTGTGGTGCAGCTTGCAGTAAGGGGTGACATGCCTCCATCCAGCAGTATGCTAGTGATCAAGGATTTCGCACGCAGCCCGCACCTGCTCCGCGCCTGTGCCGTTCAGCTTCAACTCCTGGCCTTCCTGCGCGCGTTCAGAAGAAGGATGGACATGAAACTGTAGCGATAGAATCCTGGGATACCTTGCTGGATTCATGGTCAACTCTCCCATCAACTCCAGGCCAGCGATGGCGTGATGCGGGTAAATAAACAGACGCGTACCAGCACAAGCCGGAGCTGCAAGCCCTGTAACAAGCATGGCTACCAATTCAGCTGTGTGGCGAAGGCCAGGGCTCGCTGTTACCTCGCCAAACTGTAGGCTTTGGATTGGGCCAGGGCATGCAGCTTCCCGAACAGAAAGCTTTCAGGTGACAGTTTTCGTTTTGTGACTTACGGCACCTGTGAAAAGAGCAAGTTACAGCTGATCCAGTCTGTAGGCACCGCAATGCGCGAGCTAGGACTTTATTTATGTCACAAACACCAATCACATTTAGCAGGGCGCAGTCGGCAGTGCACACGTACTCAGCTCTGAGAAGAGGTCCTGACAGCCAAGCAATTGTGTTTGAAGGCACCTGATGGCAGTCGCCGTGCCATTGTGGGTTTGGAGCATGGCTGCTTGGGCAGGCTGCTTCATTCAGCGTTTTGTGCATGAAATCGCGCTGCAATCTGCAATCGTTTAAAAAGCGGAGATGGAGCTTCCAGGGCACTTATGACTTTCTCCAGGCAGCGCCGAGGCGTTCGTGTCAGGCTGCCTGCCTGAGCCCCATAACACTAAGCGTTTTCTAGTGGAGAAGGGCAGGCTGCTGCTCCTACGCATTCACCCATGGAAAATGCCAAAAGCCTGAAGCCCCAGCACCAACTGCAGACATTGTGATTATTTCCTGATTGAGGACGATTGATGCATGTGACAGTACTACGGCAGACTACGAATTATGACGGAGGTCTTCCTTGACGTGCTGAGGCGGCGTGTGGCAACCAGGGGGCAGGCGCGTCACGCGCGCGATGTGAAGGAGATTGCCCAGGAGGCCTTTACAGCAATCCAAGTCCCGTGAAACGCAAGATGAATCTGCTTAAGGGGTGTTCCGAAGCCCCACATGCATCACATGCATGCCTTGCGTGGTTGCTAACTCCAAGGACAAGCCAAGAACAGTTGCAATTCACACAATAGCATGGCCATTGATTGCATAGGCTATCCTGGAGGGAAGGGGAAGAGTTTGCCGCATACGTGGCGCTGAACTCTCGGGCAGAAAAGTTTGTGCTAGCAACTTCCTGGAAATGTCCCAGCCGGAGCCAAGCAAACAGCTTAACAAAGAATGCAGTTGCACGCCATCATTGAAGAGCTGGCCCTGGATGATGCGCTCATACCACCCCGAACCTCGTCTTCAAGCAGCCGGGTGAAGTTGTTGTCTTGCAGCATGTCATGCAAGAGTGAGCAATTTGAAGGAGTGATTGCCTGCAAGTCTTGTGCATGCATGAAACCGTTGTTGTTCAACATAATCATGGTTCCCCACCACCAGCTGGACCGGCAGAAGCTGATGTCAATCTTGAACTTTGCCAGCAGCAAGGAAACAGGACTCCCAGTGATTCGTGGAACTCTTTCTGCGTTACCTCACAGGTGTAATGCAATTGACAGTTTGGCCCAAGGACGGCATGCAGATGAGCTGGTCCCCCGCTCATGTTTGCTGTAAGGCGATTGCATTGCATTTGGGGGGTTTGTGGCCCCACGACACGCAAGCTCAAGAGCAAAAAGGGTAAGGAGAGGAAAAGCTGTTGTGGTGCCTGGCATGTAATTTGAAAGCCTGTCACAGGCAGTCTGCGCATGCTATCACAAATAACAGGCTGGCTGGCTGGCTGGTGGCTGGCTAGCACAGCTGGGATCTGGGAGAAAAGCACGGTGCACAGTGAGGTCTTAGCAGTCTCGGAAGGAGCAATGGGAAGATCACAGCAAAGGAATAAGCGCAAGCAAAGGTGTAAACGAGCCGCAGAAGTGGAAGTCGATCCTCCTTTCTGGGAACGCCATGCCTTAAGCCATCCAGCCTTGACCATCATGCAGTGCTGGCCGCCATTAGCCAAATGGCGGCTGGAGCAAGTGTAGTTGAGAATGAACTGGCAAAAGGTTCAGGTTTGAGTGCGGGAATGACAAGTTTCATGAATGTTCGCATCTTTGCGCCAGGCGTATCATCCACATGATGACTGGTCCAGGCGCGCCGAGGCACACACCCCCGCGTGAGTCTTCCTTCTTGGCTCCCATGAGATTTATTAGATCATTTGCCTATCTTTGCCCAGCTCCTTTTTGCTGAGTAAGTAAGCCATCACTTCTGAAGGCTGCAGGCAGAAAGCTTCAGGTGGCACGTTGAATGCTGCGCCTGCAGGCCTACAGAGCCTACGGCGCGGAGGCCGGTTGCAAAATGGCTTCGCTGAGATGGCTTAATTAGTCCTTGATGTTTCTAGGCTCTAGGCCGTTGATTGGAAAGCAGCTTCCCAAGATGCAATTCGTCTTTGAGATTGAGAGACTGGCTTTGAAGGACCGCAACATGCGCTCGCGTCATCAGTAGACAGTGTTTTGCTGAGCCGCCGTTGCACCAGGCGCATCCACTGGAGAGGCCAGCGCGGCTGGTATCTCAGACAGCAACAACTTTCTTCTGAACCTACCTGAGTCTTGACTCTGAAGCCTGCTGCATGGGCGGAGTTAGCGCCTCCAAGTCAGACTCCATCAGCACCTGCGGAGCACGGCGAATCAGGCTGACAGGTGGTCCTCCGCTTTAAGGTTCCCAGCGAGAGGAAGGATTGTTTCACAACCCCCTGGTGCTCTATCCTAGCACGAAGACATGAGGCTTCATCCTCACCTGGTGCAGGTCTTCATTCTAATCTACTTGACGGATTTTGACGGATAATGTCACTCAAAAGCCTGGGCCGGACACAACTGTGGAGCTCCCGTGCAGTTTAATTTCTGAGGAGTGAGCTGGCACCAGCAAGAAAACCCTCCACGTGTCAGCTTTCGGGTTGTATCCTGCTCAGTGGATCTCGTAAGCCAGTGTACCGTCGCAGTTCGGACCTTTTCTTGAGGGCTTACAATATTATCCTCCCCAAGAGTACCTCCCCGGATTAGAACCCTATTAGGTCTCATTCAGCCATTTATACTTCCCAGTAGCTCCTTAGACCCTAATCCGTTGGGTCTTTCCCCCTCCCAGTAACTGTGCATAAATGGGTTTTGATTAAGGGTCTACTATAACTTATGAAAGTATAACTTCTATTACAAATTGCGGTAACTGTTACTGCGAGGGGAATTGCCCAACAAAACCCTAAACCATTCCTAAATCCTATAGAAATCTTAAATCGTAAATCCTAAAACATAATCCCTAAACCCTATACGCCCTAAGCCCTAAATGTATCCAATTCGAGTACTGAACGCGGGGGTTTGAAGGGACAAGCAGTTGTTGAGTTCTTGGAAGGGAAAATCAGCCAAACGGTCTTCCGATGGTGGATCCAAGGCCTAGTACCCAGTATCAGTGTGAGGGATGAACTCGGGTCAGAAATCCTCGAGGCTTTCCAGGCTCAACGCGTCTTCATGCAGAGCATTGAGGAGTGAGCATGTTCGTGGTGCACTGTGTTTAGAGCGGATACAGGTTTCCCGAGGGTTGCTCGATCTGTCAGGAACTTTGCTGCTGAGCAAAAAAGGAGCAAGAAAAAAAAACAAAAAAAACTTAAATCCTAATCCCTAAACCCTGATCCCTAAAGCCTATAATCCTATTCCTAAACCTTACATTCCTTACAAGGCCCTATCGAAGCCGAAGCTTGGTCCCTGCTCCGCTTCCCGCGTTGGATCCCAGGCCTGTCTTTGGGGTGAAGCCTGGGGATGATGGAACAGGAAATGGAAACTACTATAGCATGTAAGGTTCAGGGTTAAGGAAAAAGGGTTTAGGGGGGTTTAGGGTTGGGATAGTGCTGGGATAATTGAAGAGTGAAGGGAAACCATTATACTGTAGTATGTATCCGGTGGACCCCCACCTTGTCATAGTGGCTTTGTAAGAGGACCATAGCATAATCACCATTGTCCCTTATGGTCGCTTTTACTGGCTGGGGGTCCACCTGAAGTATGTAAGGTTTATTTGGGGGGTTCCCGAAACAAGGGGCATCTTTTGGGATGGGATATAGTAGTGTTCGGACTCCTCGAGTTGGATTACACCTGTTCAGTTTGAACACCAGCAAGTGAAGGTGCAGGATGGGTTTGGATGATTCATGTACAGTTCAAAAAAGGCTGCCTCCTGCAGCATGATTGAGGGCGATGAGGATTTTCAGCTGGCTTCCAAACACTGAGGCTGTGCAAGGCGGGCGCAGGGATCCTTCAAGACAAACGCCTCAGTCCGTAAATCACTTCCTGGTTGCCGATTGTGCAATGCTTGACATGTGCCCAAGCCCTCATACGTACAAGACGAGGGTGGGCGCAGGTAACGCTAGGGCATCCGTACTAGAATTCACAGCAACATCCACTTGTCAGTGCATATGCGAACCAGGACACGTGCTTGTTCCATCACAGTGCCTAGGCCTATTCTCAGTTTCTGACCCCCAGCATAGTCTAGAGGAGCCTCCAGGATGTCAGTCTGAGCGGAAGGGCAGCTGAAACGGCGTGTGGTCATTGTGAGGCTGTCAAGGCTCGAAGAGGAGCTGCAGGTTGGTCCGATCAGCGACTCATAGCCTTTCTAGAGTCTGGCTGTCGGTTGTTACGCAGGAAGTCTGTTTAAATCCGCGCTTAACATTGAAGTCGTAAATTTTCCATCAAAGTTCACATTTGCACATGCTCGAGCATCGGCACTCCCATGACGTTTTGCCCGCCCGGGGGGGNNTGGGGGGGGGGGGGGGGAAGGTGGCAGGATCCAAATTTGTGGCCGAATATAGAGGTTCAATGTGCAGCCGCCGGGCGGGGCATATGCATGCATATGCATTGCAATAATGAATGCACTAAAGATTCACAACTGCGAGATTGCGATCAGCTACGCAGCAGCTGAACCTTTTCAGGGTCTGCAGCAGTCGTTCCATGTCCTGGTGAGCATTAGGGACACACCATCTTCTTTGCTTATCGTAGTCATGGGGCTGATGGATTGCCTGCAAAACTTCGGTGCAGGCAGAAACGCAACGAAAGGAGGCCACTGGCTTTTCCACCAAAGCTGGCTGCTTCTTAACCATATGCCCTTAGATGTTGATGCTACACTGTGCGTTGCAGCTTGCAATCTGAGAGTTTGGGCAAAGTTGCAGATAGCAGCTTGAATGTCGGAGCTGCATCTGGATTCAAAAAGATGGTGGAATGCTTCGCTTCTGGGGGTGACACCTACAAAGGGCCTTAAGCAAGCCCTGCATTTGAAGCTGGGTTGTTGTGAGGCCCTTTTAGCCGCCCGGCGGCAGCAGGACAGAAGACTTGTCCTACTCGTAGTATCAACTAGTGTACCAACTATGAGGAAGCTTTTGACACGTAGTCCTATTTCTTCAATCCAATCAGCATGGTAGCGTTTGCAGCTGCTTGCTTGATACGCACCGTCAGACAGCCATTTTTACGTGGAGAGCTGCTAGAATTCCGGCTTCAGTATCATTGCATAGGATTGTCATCACGTTTCTCGCAGTACTGAGCAGGTTTGCCATGAAGTTTTGTATTCTTCGACAGCTGCCAGGACCTGGAGCTCGAGGAGCTGCGCCGGAGGCACCATGAGCTGGAGAGGAAGGCCACCCCATCCTGCGCGTCGTTACTTGCGAAGTTTGATCTAGTCTGTATACTGTTTGTTTCCAACCCTCTTTTGTGCGAGCACAGCCGCTTCTGAGGCCGCAGAGCTGCATCAGCATCAGCAGATGCAGCAGCAGAAGCACCTGCAACCGCAGGAGGAGTTGTTGCTGCCTTAGCATGAGGTTTGGTTTTGAAACTGCCGGGCATTGAGGACCAAGTGTGGCCGTGCTAGTTTTGAGGCTGGAGGGCGGAAGCGCCACTACGCAAAGGCCGCGAAACTTTGAATTTCGTTGTCCCAGCGCAGTTGGGGTGTTCATAGAGACCATGTGCATTGCTTCCTTTTCCAGGTCAGAAGCTGGATCCTGCTTTGGTTTGCTAACTGCACTCAGGCCTGCCGAAGCAGCAAAGGAAGACTTACCTCACGCGGCCAAGCACTGAGAATCCTTTTTAGTGCCTTGGAGCTCAACAGGAGCTCTTGCAAGGGTGGGGGTCTCTCGAAATCAAGGGTCACATATTGAAGGCACTTTCGTACCATGATCGCTCCTGTTATGGGTGCACGCATTTTTGTCTACGGTAAGGTTGCAGTCGCGATTTGAGTTGCGAGGCCATTACCAATTAAAACATGCTGGGCCGAAAGCCATGAAGGGAATTGTGTCGGACTTGGGCCTCATTGGCCGTTGAGGCACCTAATCCGCCGGGCGACGATGGCTTGCGCACGGCCTGCTGCCTAAAGTTGGTCTTCAGAAGATGCATCCCAGCAAGCGCCTTTGCAGTATGAGGTTCGAGTGTCCGCAGGGCATCTAAGTGCATGCGGAGTGGAGCAAATGCTTTCGAAGAGTAGGGATCATTGCTTAGACCTGTACAGGTGGCTGCACGTGAAGCTTGACTGGAAGGGGAGAGTGGGCATTTGCATAGATGTATGCCCAAGGTCCTGCGCAAAGCAGGGTTGCAGCCTGCACCAGAGTGGCCGACTGAGACTCTCAGGGCTACCATGGCTACCAATTGCGGATTTGAAGTTTTTCGGCGGATTGTTCGTATGCGTGAGTGACGTACTTGCAGTCCAATCTGGGCCCCTCAACAGCTTGGGTGAGTTGAAGATTCGGGCATGTACATAGGATCCCAAAAGACAGGGCTTGCGAGGAGTGCAGGATGTAGGCTTTGAGAAACTAGCAGAAGTATACAGCACTCACTTGGCACGGCCTGAACTTCTGAACTGCTTCCCAGGATGGGCGAGGACATGTTTGCCGCATGGCTGCAAAGGGTGCATTTGGGAAAGTGAGACATGGGAGTCAATGGCGCTTGCCATTCCTAGCGTTTGAGCAGCAAACAGACTTTTGATACCTGCTTCTGCGTCACTGTCAAGGTCTTGGGAATGCGTTTTGGTAGAGCAGCAAGCTTCATGTAGGGCACGGCAGGGCCCAACACCCAGCTGAGTTCCCTGCCCTTCACCCCAGGTTGCCAGCCTGCAACAGCTGCGGGTGCTCCTGAACATCCACGGTACCAGGGCACCTGGCTCAAAAGTAGCCAGTTGATGTCAGTACAAGCGCATGAACATGAGTCTGCACTGTGTGGGTAGTGCGGCACCTGAAGCTTCAGGTTTGCTAAGTTGGCTCCATGAATTGGAAAGGCGTGTTGTGCACAGTTTACAGCATTCAGCCCTGAGTGCAGCAGGCTTTATCCTAGTCCTGTTCCTTTGCTTTGGCGCGGTGGTTCTGTGTTTTGGTTCTGTGCAAACCCATCAAGGTTTGTCATCAGGAGTGTATGACTCCCAAAAGATCTATGATCTTCAATGTTGGCACCTCCTAACCATCCACAAGACACCCCTGTGCCTCAATCAGGCAAGCGGGCCGGAGCTTGCCAAAATGCAGGCCTTGCATAGATATGCTGAGGCCTTACTGGGGAGACCTGGTCTAGGACCTAGGCGCCCGTTGCACAGGTGATTTAAGGGTGCATGCAAGGATTGCGTAGTAGTATGTTGGGCAGTTGTGTAGGGATGATTCAGGATCATAATTTGTTCGCGCGGGGCTAAACAGGAAGGATCACTTCAGGTGGCTTTTTTATGGGTTGCTGGGTGGCAGTACTTTCTCTGCGGATGGGAGATTTTCTGCAGCCACGGCTTCGTGCCAATCTGGGGCATTACAACAACCAAAAGCCTGACATTCTTCAAAACTCCGCAAGTCGTAGAGCTCAGAAGGTTGCAGGAATGGCTTGCAGTTGATTGCGGTCGAACAGGATTAATTCGACAAGGCTTCGGTGTTTTCATGGCGATTCCACCTAACTGTCTATTGGGCAGCAATTCCGGTTGAGAACCAAATTCCTTGTAGTGTCAACCTTGCTGTGGTCATTTTGCCAGACGCATGAAAACATGTGTGCATATCTATGCAGAACAGACCAGTAGCCCTGAAATCAAGGTAGAGCAGCTGGAGATGGACTTGGACCAAAAGGCCGATGCCACAGAAGATGATTCATAGGATCTATAGGGTTTAGGGGGTTCTTTTTGAACACGACCAGCAGGTTCAAAAAAAGGTGAATTTTCTCAGAGGAAATTGCCACTCACGGCAGCAGCGCTTCAAAGACTATGAAGGCATCCTTTCAGGAATTGCGGATTAGTCGCAGGGAGTTGCTAGCAGGGACATCACACGGATTGCTATGCTGGACGCAGCGATGAAAACGGTTCTTGCCGCATCTCCACAGATGCTAACACTGCTTCATTGGACGCATGATGCTGATTAGGGTAAGACAAGTGCTGGGGAGCGCGTGTAAAAAAAGCTCCTAGGATACGCGGCACGGTACACCAAACACATCAAGCTTGGAATTGAGGGTACATTTACAACCCAACCTCTGCACGGTTCCTAAGGAAGAATCGCTTCTGAAAGATCGAAGCCTTCTGGAGCAGGCTCCCGTGCAAGCTGCACCATGGCTTTGGGCTGGCCTTGCATTTGCCATGTGCTGCGATGCGAAGCACTTTGATACACCTCCTGGGCTCCAATTCTAATTGTGCTGTAAAGATGAATTACTGAGTCACCCGCCGGGGATTTCGTCCCGTGGCCAGGAAAGGCAGCTGCGCGAGAAGGCCCTGCGGGTTTTGGCAGTGGTTGCAAGACTGAGGAAGCAAGCAAAACCGTGTAGATCGTGCATGTTTCAAAGCTGCAAGGCCATGTTTTGCCAAAGTGAGAACCTGCATTACTTTGTGTACATTCTGGTGTTCCGGTAGTAGCTTGGAAGGCCGAGAAGGAAGCAGAGTCCTTGCGCCACCAACGCCATCAGGCACGGCCTTCAGAAGAGTCAGGGACAACGCTGCAACAATTCGCATGTTCGATTCGTGCCAGTCGCTGCGCAGCTTAAAGTTTAGTTGCCTCACGAATTAACGTGTAGGTTCTGTCGTGGGGTAATGAGGAGTTGCTCCCCGGCTGCTGGCAGTTGTCAAGCCCGTGGCTCTGAAGACGAGCCTCCATGCCCACAAAATGTACAGGTGACAGAGCAGATTGCCAAGTTGCTGACATTCCAACATTCTTGATGCAATGACCTCTCGCAAGCCTGAAGGGACTTCACGTCGATACGGTATGCCCGTCAGGCTCCTTCAAGGGACCCGGCGCTGGAAGCGGCGCAGGAGAAGCTTCAAGCAGAGGCGGGAGCGTTGAAATGCAGGGCTCGGGGTCGCTGGCTCCAAGCCATTCAAACGAGATTAGGTCATGGGCAAATATAATTTGGGTCTCAACCCCGATGAAATGCGATCAAGTCCTCCGAAAGTATTACGTAATTTTCAGGCAGACTCCAGGAATGCTGGAGGAATCTGGAAAAGTTGGGCATCCTCTGCAGACACAAGGACATCCTACTGTCTCTTCAATTCTAGGACCTCTGTCCCGGACACCAGCTAACAAATAGTAGTTCATGTCATTCGCTACGATGGTTGAACAAAAGACTGGATTAACCTTGCATGCCCTGGGCACGGCATGGATTTTTTCACGCCCTATCCTGGACACCACCAGATTCAGTCAAACATGTAAACATGTCTGTATACGGACTTAATTCGAGATAGCGAAGGAGGAAAGAGCAATCAGCTAGAATGGCAGTAATGATAAATGAAGCAGTGCCATATAAGATGATAGCCAATGAGTGCATCAGCCTTCACGCGATCTGGAACAGCTGCAAGCAACACCAACCTCGGGCTGCCACCATCACCACTGCCCCCATAGCCATCATCATGTCGGTTATGCCTCTGGAATACATGCGCTGTAAGGGTCCAAGTACACAGATGTCAAGGTTTTAGGCTCCCTAAAGCCTCATGATTTGGGTAATTGGGCCCTTAGGGATAGAATGGGATAGAGCAAGATAGAGGGGAATGGATGCTCCAGGTGTCTCGCCTCAGTGCGGAACTGGACCAAGCCAAGCAATCTTTCGAGGCCCACCGCGCAAGGGTTGCGCCCAAAGAAGAACTGATTGTCTTTGCCCTTATTTCAACGTGCTGCACAGTAGGAGCTCCATAGGACAGATTCATGATGTTTATGAGAATTCTGTTGATCGTTTAGGCTGTTGAAAGTTTCCGAGGAAATGTCTTCGGATTTGCAATGCATCCCGCATCGCTTGCCACTGGAATTCCATGGGCAGCAGGTAAGCCCACACAAAGCTCTCGCAGTGCCACACAAAGTATTTTGCAGCTAGCGCTCAACATCATAACGACTGCGCCAGGCTGCCAAGCGAGAAGCGGCACAGCAAGCGCAGCTTGCTGAGGAGGGGAGAGAAGTGTGCAACAGAAGGATGCGGCCTTGACAAATGCATGTTTGCTTCCAGAAACGGACCTCAGCAAGGAGGAAGAAGTAGCATTTGGATTTCAGACTGCAGGCTAAGACATACACACGTAGTCGTGCTGCATGCTGTGACGCCAGGAAGCGCGCCAGCAGATTGTCGAATATGCGCAGAAGGCAGAGGCCGCTATTTGCCAGGATACTGCTGTTGTTAATGCTTGATGTGACGCAGCCCCCCGCCGGAAACCTTGCATTTTGGGAGCACGCATCCGAAGAGCGTTTAATGTGGCACCCCCTTTAGTATTGGGCCCCCCCTGAACAGTTGACGATTCTCCTTAACCGCGGCCACCCCCCCCAAATTTGACGCGCAATTAGTTAGCGCTGGAAGGTCGCAGTGCCAATTTTCTTCCAATCTTTTGTATTGGGAAATTTTGTGAGACCTCATGATGCGAATTGATGTGCAAGCCTATAGCAAGCCTG